TGCATAATCTTCCCCGGTACAGAGGTCAGGCGTGATCTAGGTGATCACAGTACAGGAATTACTGCTCACGTTACTGTCATTTTATTCTAGCGTGGGAATCTACGTACCTGCCAAGTACCAATCCCTATATCGAACCCCAGCTGTTCCCAAGAAACTGATCTAGAGACTCCTGCACTGCTACCCGACTTCTGTTGTTTAAAGTAACAAACTAAAGCATAACCCTGGATCATGGATTTAAAAAGTCACTGGAGTGGAGACAGCATGCCGCCTATTGAACTTTTCAGCAGACAAACGCTTTGCCAGAAAAATTTAAGCAGTAAGTGTGAAAAAGCCATCCCAAAATTTATTCTCAAAATGCCAACAGAAACGAATCAGTAGATACTCAAAACTACAGAGTTCTTAAAAGTCATACATTCACAATGCAGAAAACTTGACAATTGGGATGCCTTTTGCATGGTCTATGTAACAATATCCATTTTACAGTGTAAACAGGTACTGGTATGTTCTTACTTACAAGTCCAGCAGGAAAGGCACAACTCGGCATACAGAGATCATAAGCAAGAATCAGGTGCAACAACATTACACAAACTTTTGGTAATCTGCATTTTTGGGGCCTTCCACAACGGAGACTGGACTTGAAGCTTTCCTGCAGTCAACAACTAGACTTCTTTCCATCGTTCAGTCCTTCCATACCAAATGCTCACTTTCCAGTCTGGTTTAGATCCCATTACATATAGAGTTCCAGCAGACGTTAGAGGAATAGTGAAAGGTCAGTCCAGTAAGTCTTCAGGTGCTTCCACTAATACATCAGGTTTTGGTTTCAGATAGTGCATGGAAGCACCTGCTTGAATCTCAGTTCATTACAGTGGTCATTAATAGAAAAATAGACACTACAACTACAAAAGGAACAAATGAGGTAGATAACTTAGAATCCAGATGACTATCCCAGCAACCTTCATACAATACACATGGATCATTAATTACCATTTTGGTAGAATGCAAGTTCACAGACCACCAAGAA